AAGATAAATTTTGTGCAACATAGGATTTCCAAATAAATTTAATGTCAAAAATAAACATATACTCCATCAACATGTGATGCAGATAAAAAATATTTTTAGAAAACAAACAATGCCGTTTAAATAATCAAATGCCATCCATGAAAAACCAAAACCTATTATTCACTCATATCCCGTGAAAGAATTGAAGTATTTACTCTATAAGAGTTAAATCTCTTACTCTATTTTTAGCATATTTATCTTTGTAAGTATTCCAAATATTGTATAATTCATCAATATATTTCTTTTGTACTTCGAGCAAATCTTCGGTAGTTGGATTTTCGATCTTTTTAACTTCAATAGGTCTTCCAACTATCGAACCATTTATTATCAATAAAAGTAATAGTAAATAAATAAGATTGCATAAACTATTAAACCTTACCAATTGTAGTAATAGGCCTTCTATGGGGAAGAATTCCAATATCATCTATGGAAAATAAAGGTGAGTTGATTTTAGTCTAAAATGAATCCACTCAATAATAATAAATAACATGATTAACAGTAAAAAATCTGATAAAATATAATCACATACAATTAAATATACCACGCCCGTGGAAGAGAGGCATTGTCCAACCTGACAAGTTTTGTAATGTCTTTTGAAATTTCCAAACATTACTACCTTTAGGATTATCAGCTTGCTCCCATATATCATTTTCACCAAATGAAAATACTGGGCATAAACTTGCGCTATTTTGACAACAAATTGGTTAATAAAATAAAATTTAATTAATCAAAATTTTCATATTCCTTACCCATTACGAACAGCCAATTTGATAAATCCTAATCTCTTCTTCAAAACTAAATCGTAAACTCCAGGACGCGCGTTTAAACTTTCTCCCGCACCACCAACTACGATTAGAACAGAATGCCCCGGTCCTTTTTGTAAAATATTTTCACAGGACTGACGGGATACAGATGCCAAGCCTTGGGCCATTAGATATTCTCGATAAAGTGGGAGGTTAAAATTTGAAGCAAGTGTCAATACCCGACATGTAATGCCGGGAAATTTTTTTGAAAAATCATTGGCTTCAGTGCCAAAATTTGTCCAAGCACCAACAGATATGACACCATGAGGATGATACCCTGATGATGAAAAAAATGTTAAAATGAAAATGTATATTTTACATACTTTTAGAATTACTATAGTAATTTACTCACCAAATATATAATTTTTTGATGGATCTAGATCGGCTTCCTATAATTTTGATAAAGAAAATCAATGATTGTCAGGAAAAAAAACTTTTTGACGTACAAATTTGAGGATAGATAAAATCATTACCTTAATGAGTGTTATTGGGAAATATTCAGCATACCACTTCCAAAAAGGTGCCTTTCTAGCAAATGAAAACCTTCGACCTCCATTTTCCGGAGCAATGTCGAATAATACAAATAACAAATATGCAATGATCCAAGGCCAAAAGAAAATTGTAGTACACAATATAAAAAAAACACATAAAGTTACTGGTAGAGAGATAATCCACAAAAGAACAGCAGTTGTCTGACGTCGTCTTTTTAAAGGCACGTTTAATGGTGCTAACTGTATATTTAATAGATTTGTCATGCTTAATAAATCAGAGTTAATAAATATTAAAGTGCTAGAGTTGTGTAGAAAAACGCGGAATTACAAGTTGCAGAATTAAGTGAAATCTGCATTTTAAATAGGAAGACATTTTATGCTGCTAATGGTTTGACAAACCATAAATGTCTGTTTATTAGATCCTGTTTTAGCACGTGATATCGCACATGAAATTCTCACGCTGATTGTTAGCGATAACGATAATAATAATTTTTTTTTTTTTTTTTTTTACACTCATGTGGGAACTTCTACGTATTCTTTTTTCTTTCCAAGTTTAATATAACAGAAAGCTTCAAAAAACAAATATAACGATAATGACAAATTAAAAAGGAAATTGCTAATAAGGGTGAAGGCGTTCTATAAAAATCTAACACATGTGAAAACGGCAATAAATTCGCAAGAAAGTGCATTATTGACGAAAAAAGCATGGTTGAACGTCTGATGTTTATTGGTATTTATTAGTTGCTTATTGGTTGCTGATTTATACGTTTGATTCCCAAAAAGACCTCAGAGATGGTAGAGTTAGTTTAGGTTTGGTTTAGATTCTAAAACCTTTAGGTTCCAAATTGCGTAAAATTTAGGAACCGAATTATATACTATACTAGGTTCCAAACCTAAATTAAAAACCTGGTTCTCAATATTTTGTATGAAAAGTTACTTAATTCATACGTACCAAACTTTTAGGATACTTATATATTTTTTGATCTACAGTCAGATCTCTCTATAGTCACTCCCTCTATAGTCACATTTACTTATAATTACAAATTTTTAAAACCTAACTTATATAACACATACTATATAAAGTTTAACCTCTATATAAGCACAAACTTTCTATAAGCACCAAATTCTTCAGACCAAGAGTGTGATTATAGAGAGGTTTGACTGTATATGCATTTAACTTTTATAAGTTTTATAAGGTAAAAGGGAGTGATATGACGGGTGGGTAAAGTGACAAATCACATAATATCGAAGTTCTATTAGATGAGTCTAATGATTCCTAAACTATTCAAATTGACTCACCAAGATGAATCGAAGGATAAAAACATTGGTTTCTAATCACTAGGTTACCTTTTACTCATACAGTGCGAGTAAATTTCGTAATAAAATTTATTACATTTTTGTTTCGTAATATTTTTTATAAAAACTATTGCTTAATATGTACGTAATATGTTATAATATATAAAAGATTGCTTGTTGATAATAATAATA